AACCGTTTTTTTTAAAAACCCATTCCCTAGAGAGCTCAACCGGACTTCCATGAGCATATCTATCTATCTATCTATCTATCTATCTATCTATCTATCTATATATCTATATATATATATATATATATATATTTGTGTGTGTGTGTGTGTGTAGATAGATAGATAGAGAGAGAGAGAGAAAGAGAGAAACAGGGAGAGAGTTTTACAGATTTTTAAAAATTTTGATTAGAATAATTTATAAAGTTTTAAATTTTTAAAATTTCTGTATTGGTTTGTACCAGTTAGGGGATATTGCTATTAAGTACAAACTATATTTACTAATCATATTTGAAAAAGCTTACTATAATTCATCGATGCCCCAAAATAATTTTGTATTTTTGTTTTGTGTGTATAAACGTGCTCATTTTTGCAATTATGGACGTCCATACACGACATTATCAGAAAGAAAGTGCGATAAATCTATTAAATTTAAAGTCAAAGTATCTAAAAATAAATAAAATATTAGATTACGGAGAATATTTTCCTAAATTTTTAAGATTACGGAGCAGTTAAAAATTATATAAAAAGAGGCTCACGTTATATTCTTCAAGTATTTTTACAGATATGTCCACTGTAGAAAAAAAATGAGATAAACTTCCGTCTGTAGGTAAAGCTGTAAACCTGTCAAATAAACAGCTACCAAAGTGAAAAAATGCATTTCTGCGATATTTTAAACTTAATGTAAATAATATTTGTTTCAAAACATATTAATTAAACTTTAAATCGGCTAATATTTCTCAAATAAAGTTTCAGAAAAGTATATTTTATTTTTGAAATATTTTTAATAAAGAGAATTACATTGTGGTGACAGATAGCTAAAATGGCGCTAAAATCGGCGATTTTAATGATTTCCAAACAAAAACTTATTTCCAATCAATTTAAACTTAAATTCGTTTTGAAATATGTTTATTGGAGATATTAGATTTAATCTATTAGCTTGAAATTAAAAGTAAAATAAAAGCTTGAAGAAAGATTTTTTCATTTTAAAATATATATATATATATATATATATATATATATATATATATATATATATATATATATGCAGTCCGTATATATTAAAGTCTTGTGTATCTATGTATATATAAATATTTACGTTATTATTTAAGCATTATAAAATTAATTATTCACGTAAAAAATGAAATACATTTTTCTAACTCAAGACAACACTAGAACGCCCCAAAATTAACAACGACAGTATATGTCTAGAAAACAGTAAGTCAGGGTAGCTACAACCGAAAGAAAAAAGGACAAAGAGAAAAAGTGAGAAAAAAAAAACGACGGAAAGGCCAAATAACCACGACAATCTACAGGTACGCGCATACGCGCAGACAGGCGCATGGGCGTACTCGCGCGAACGCACACTCACACTCACACGCACACATACACTATGAAAAAGTTTGCACCAATGAAAAGTGCGTATAAGACAAATCGAGAAGTATAAGCAGTCAATTGCTGATAACTCCCGACGAGTGGACAGAGTGATTCCCGGATGGACCGTTTACGAAACTCTGGAGTCGTGATGTTGAAGGTAACATCAATCAACTAATTGACAATCCTTTTATTTGCATCAATTATATATATATATATATATATATATATATATAATATTTTGGGTGTAAAACATTTTAAAAAGTTCACAGATACACGGATTCTACACTCTGAAGTGTTGGCCTATGTGTAAATAATCATGTCACTCATATCTATATATGCATGATTATTTTTCTATCTATACTCTCCATCTTATGCATAGTTTGGTCACAGAGGCAAAGCGCTCTTTGATTTTCCAAGACCGATTGATTCGTTTTTTAAAGCATAACCACCCTTTGCAAGTTATTTAAATCCAGAAAATATTTTTAGCTTGTAATATTTTTTCGAGATGACAATGATTTTTACTGATAAACTTTATACTAATTAATCCATAGCTGGGGGGTGGATTCGTACCATTGCCAATGGCATTTGCGCGTAAGTGAATATAATAAATTCGACTGGTATTGGAACTTGGCTCTCCATTTCCCAATTCCGTAACGTTGTCCATTACACCATCCACGCATTCACGTTTACGGCACCTTGTATTCTCAAGCTGTCACCCATCTAGGATCGACGATGTTTAACTTCGGTGATCGTACGGGAGCCGCTGTTTCAACGTGATATGGCCGTGTGGTGGTAGTTTTCTAAGAATGCTGTTGACTGATTTTTCCATTCTTATTTATTTGCTCATTTATTTATTTTTAATGCATCAGATGTTGCCAGTTACATTGTGCCCAAGCGAATAGTTTGCTCATCTCGATGACATTTTCCTTGAAAAAATCCGCAGGTGTTACCTGAACTTAAATCCTTAGTACTTTCCGACAGAGAATTCTTCAAAGTTGTCGTTCCTCACCCCTCACTGGAAGACACAGATGGATGCATGAATAGACTCAGTAACCCCAACCAACGGATTTGGGACAGACAGAAAACAAGTAAGCATGTTGATCATATGTTCTTAGCATTCACGCACGCACGCACGCACGCGCACGCACACACACACACACACACAGGTGTGTAAAGGTACACAAATGTACTTAGTATAATATGGTTTTAGTCTTTTTTTTAACACACGTCCAAAGGATTATGTGCTTCTATAAATTCAGTAATCTCAAAAAAAAAAAAAATGAAAAAATAATAGATAAGAAAATAAATAAAAAAAAGAGAAAAAACAAAAGAAAGAAAGAAAAAAAAGAGTCTCGTATTCATTTGTATAAAGGAACGAATAACGAGTTTCCCGCCCCCGCTACAGCACGTACCCCAGTTGGTGAGGCATTCATGTGAATAGGTCGTGACATAAACGCGGGCGAAAACTCACACCTTCGTCTGCAACGCTCGAACAAACCTTTACTCCCTTTTCTTCATTCATATATCTATATCTTTTTTTTTTTATGCACGAACACAGAAACACATCTGGCAACACCCACCGATATCACACACACACACACACACACACACACACACACACACACACACACACACACACATATATATATATATACGTGCCTACATACCCATACACAAACACACACATATATACATGCCTACATACCCATACACAAACACACACATACCCTATCGCACGGATATACACACTTACAGATATTCATATACGTAGAGTACAACAGTATATATCTATATATTAATCTCTCTCTCTCTCTCTATATATATATATATATATATATATATATATATGTGTGTGTGTGTGTGTGTCTGTGTGTGTGTTTGTTCACCAAAATAACTGCATGCAAAATCATACACACAGAAGGGCGCGCCTGCAGCGGATATATATATATATATATATATATATATATATATAAATAAGCACCCATAAACACACACACCTTTGCGCACACATGCACACATATATACATACATGCATAAATAAATTCATATATATGTATTTACAGTATATATATATATATATATATATATATATATATATATATATATATATATATATATATATACGTATGTATGTAATTTAATATATATATATATATATATATATATATATATATATATATATATGAAAATGACGATGCGCATTCTTTAGAAGAACCTCTTTCGCTCAACACTTCTTCAGAAAGATTCGTTGGAAAAAACAAAACAAAACACATATACTAAACAGAAATAGTTATAAACAGCGAAACTGAAAAAAAAAAAACTGTAGAGGTTGGGGTAAATAAGCCTCCGTGCACTTTTTAAAAACAATATATAAATTCTATGTACAAAAAATCATATATATATATATATATATATATATATATATATATATATATATATATATATATATATATATATAAACACATATATATATGATGGGTAAATTGTCGCCATTTTATATCTTTAATTTCACGCATGCGCGTTGATTTTTTATTTTGCTGACTGCACATTATAGCAAGGTCAGTTGGACACCGTCTGTGAGAAAAAGTGTACCATGACGCAATTCACTCCGCCAGAAATTTGGAAACAGCATGCTGTACTTTTTGGAGTGATCGCTAGTGATGCCGACGTTATGCCTCCATTCATCTTCAAAACAGGGCCTTAGACTCAACATGGAGGCCTACATCACGTGCCTCGATGAGGTAGTGCTACCCGGGGTCAAGAGGGTGGCTGCTGGAAAAACCTATGTCTGGCAAGAAGACTCTGTACCATGCCACACAAACAGGAGAACCCAGTCATTGCTGTCAGACAATTTCTGTGATCACATTTACTAAGCGTTGTTTAGATGTGGCACAATGCCAAAAGGCTGGAACTCACGGGCCGGTTTTAACTGATCTAGCGTCAAGCTTGCTAACCATTAGACCACGTCGATATGCTGTAAATGCTTGATTTAGTGCCCCCTCTTGAATAAGTGTTTCTCTTTCCCCCATGAATTTAAAATATGTACCCTTATTCTCTCCAGGTTGACTAACACAATATATGTGAGAAACGAAAGATTTGTACCGGTGAGTTTAAACACAAGAAGTTTATTTAATCAAAATAGGTTTTCTTTAAAATTTACTACATACATACGAATTGAGTTCTTCCACTCACTGGCGTGTTTATCTAAAAATAGTTACGTCTAAATTCACCTTCATCCCTGCCGTGATACCAAATCAGTCAGGTTTCGATCCCGGCTTGAGGCAATCGGATATCTAGTGGATGACAATATATATGTATAACATGTATAACATATAACACACACACACACACACACACACATATATATATATATATATGTGTGTGTGTGTGTGTGTAGAATTAATACAAGTAAAAGATTTGTCAAGTAAAAGATTGATGTTACGTTCAGCATCCCTAGTATCAGAGTTTCATAGACGGACCCTCCGGGGAATCTCTCCGTCCATTCGTCTGGATGTATCATATATATATATATATATATATATATATATATATGAACATTTCTCAGAGTTAACCTGTAGAAAAGACAATATTTATAAATATAAATGACAATAGGAAAACTTTAGTTATTGCTGACGCGTTTCGTCTAATGTGGTCTTTCTCAAAGCAAAAAAACGAAATGAATTAAATTAAAGAAAGTAACTAGTAATAACAAAAAAAACAGAATGTTCTTAGTAACTGGAGGAATGTAGAGAACGCTATTTTCATATTGTTAAGTGAAAATAACGTCAGTTATAATTAAATTCATTTCGTTTTTTTTTTACTTTGAGAAAGTCCACATTGGACGAAACGCGTCAGCAATAACTACAGTTTTCCTGTCATTTATATATATATATATATATATATATATATATATATATATATATATATATATATATATATATATATATATATGATAATATTCGAACCTGCTTTTCATGGTCAGAAAAGATATGTGTAACTACATCAAAATCCCTAACCTAATGCTGAAAACAAACTTGTTAACAAATATCTCTTTTTCAACATAATTTTCTTTAATTTTTGCATTGGTGAATACCAATCAGACAAATTAAGAATTATAAGATGAAAATTTCAAATCGAAATTCAATTGATAAATTCGTGTTAGGCTACGAACTTATTGATCGATCCTTTTATACAGTCCTACACTTAGATATACATAAACACACCCGGACATAGACATGTGCGCATAACCATCTCTCTCCATCTAAACACGCACACACGTACTCACACATAGACATTCAAAGAACTATATAGCCAGGCACAAATACCCACACCAGCCATACACATAATAAATCTACAAGAAGTCTACTCATGCAGAAGCATATATAGCCACATTTGTTTTTGCGCCATATGGTTGCTCGGCCGGGGATTGGGACAGATTGAAACAACCGCAAGAATGAAGGCAAGAAAAAACCCACATCGTTATCATAATATGTGTTAAGGAGATGAAGTAAACATTTGTTTGGTTTTGGTCAAACACAGATCAAAGGTGAAATTGAGAAGGGGGTGAAAAGAGGGGGGAATAAATCAGGAAAATTCGCCCCGACGACAGGCGGGAGCGGGGGAGGATTGAAGGCTTAGTTGTGGCGGAATTATATAGAGGAGATTAAAAGGCGAAAGTTTTCAACAACAAAAGATCACCAAAAAAAAAAAAAAAAGGAAAATAGAATAAAATAAAATGAAAATAATAAAACAACACACACACACACACACAGACACACACACACAGACACAGACACACACACACACACACACACACACACACACACACACACACACACACACACAGATGGCACAACCGGTTGGCTGTATGGAGTTCCGACGGCGGTTGGTAAACGCTGGACAATGGCACGTGAATTTACTGCCGTGTACATATTTGCCCTCCTGTGTACACGGTGGATGCAAGTGGATGCATACATAATATTGACAGATATTTAAAAAGAAAAAAGAAAAGAAAAAAAGAAAGAAAGAAAGAAGAAATATACGCAGTACAAACAGAAAGGAAAATAAAACAAGGTGTGATCTCTACGCACCATTGTTAGTGAAACTGTGATTTTTATGTAAAAACTCTATTTGGTGTTTCTAATGCCTTCAAAAAAGGCTTTTGTTTTGTGTATTTATCTAACAGATTTGCACGTGGAGTACATTTGAATATGTGTGAATGAATTCCTAAGTCTTTTAGAATTATTTTTAGATTTCTTGCCACTACATAACATGCTATTATTGCATTCTGTTATTTTCTTTATTTTCAACAGATAGTTATTTGAATTTTCAAACGTTTGATCTAAAGCGTGGGTATCGATAGACTGGGCGTGCAACAGATGAATCTAAACTCTACAAAAATGGCGTTAGTTCTCAATTTGCCAATGAAAATTAAATATCATGTCTTGAAATATTAGATGATTGCTTTTTCTAAAACAAAGCCAATATATATATATATATATATATATATATATATATATATATATATATATAATATATAAATATATATATATAAAACTTATTAATTATCGAATCAGCATGTTATTTTTAACAGCTTCAAGTTTACTTCAGAAAGCTACGCAATAATAAACTTGGGAGATGATTAATCCATCCATTTATCTAAGATCTTAATTTTTATTGTCATTTTAGGCACAACCTGTTGGCCGATAACACTCTTCGGTCTAAGATATATGTTGTGTTCGTTCTTTAGAATTAGTTTCGTAAAGGGACAGGGAGTTTTGGAGGGCCATGGTCATCCACGTAATGAAGAGATTTATTATTTTATTTCATTTTTAAATATTTTTCATGCGATATCACTTCAGGACGCAATCATGGCTCTTTTTATATTATCTGAATTGCCACACATTCTTTGGAAGGATAGTGAAGTAATTTCCTGTTACCTTCTCCGCGATTTGAAATTCAGAGTTTTCATTCTCTTAGACTGGTTGCCATCCAAGTCTAAAGAGCCCAGTCTACCCTGCTATATTTAACCTGCAACTGAGAGGAGAAGAGATGGATTAATATCTTTCCCAAAGGCGTTTGTGAGAAATTGAACAGTTTAGCTCGAAACTCGAACTCAGTCCACCGATTTCACTGTTCTTTCAATTTTAATCTCTTTCGCTGAAAAAATATAATATCCCACAGCAGCAACAACAACAGCGACGCAGGATCAAGAGAAATGTACTAAAAACAACAAGGATGAAGATAAACAATCTGAAAAATATATGGAGACTTTAAAACAGTTCATATTTCTCTTGTGGACAAGATAAAAAGTGTGATGAAAAATGCAAGCAGAAAACACACACACACAAAAGCTAAAAGAAAATACGAAGCAAATTCTAAAACCTAAATGCAATGTGCACTTGAGGAAGGCTGGGAGCGTATCGACTGAAGAGTTGTTATAATAACAGGGAAGATGAAAACGTTACTACGAAGAATATACGAAGCAATGAAAATACATCTAAGAATCTTTCACAACGTCAGAAAGATGGAAGAATACATCTACTAAAAATTCGTTATTATTTCTTTATTTCGTTTTGAACTAGAATTGTGTTGAGCTTGCTAACCACGGCAAAGCGGCGATCAAATAGATATTTACTAAATTTAGTTTAGTCTTACACAAGAACATGGTAGCAGAAGCACCTAATGTGAATCGAACTCTATACTAGCGAATTAGTTTACGAAAAGAAGTTAATATCCATCATTTTACAAAATGTACACGAGAAGCGTGATTTGGTCCATTGCTGCTCTGGTGGGGTACCCAGTGAGGATCAAATGGAACGCCTTACACTGTTTTGCGAGACAAGTGTGCTAACCATTACGACACAACAGGCTCCTCCACAATTCGGAACAATGATAAATTCGTGCCTTGTAATAGTCAACCTGTCTTTATTTGTGTCAAGTCGACCATAAATGTCTCACTTTATCAGGCGTAAAAACAGTTTTTAAATGCATACTCGAATCTTAATTCTTTCGCTTGAGATACTTTTTACAATTTAGACGTAGTTTTAGTTGATAATTGATTATACATACTAAAAGTGAATTATATCTATATTTATAGGCAGACACTTATTTGGAGATAATGTTGCGTGTGAAATTATATGTTTTGTGCGCATGAGCATACGTATGTTTAAGTGCGCATGCGTGTACGTTTATGTGTCGATTCGCACCGTTCTTGTCGTTGTTCTAGTTAGCTGACGTGATATCACGATACAATCAGTTCATAATAAATAAAAAACGAATCACGCTGATGACACCAGTTCTCGTATGATCATCGAAGTTAATACAGCGTAAAAAATGAAAAGAAAACCAGCAAAAAAAAAACAAAAACAAATGAACAAAAAAACTACTTAATGTTTAGCGAGGTGACCGCGTTTATGGTTCATGTATTACACTTATGCTTAGTAAATAAAGTTAATTTATCATGCATGCAAGATGTTCAATCCCAAATAAAAAGAACTAGGATTTTGAATGCCGATTTTTAAAGCAGGCATGCAGAAAGTATTGTATTTATTAAACTTATAGTATAACAAAAATCTAAAAAATGTAGAATAGAATAGGTATAGGCCTCTGGTCGGGAGAATGGAGGTTTTCGAGAGCTGGAACCACCGCTTAATTGTCATTGTTTCCAAGTACACACTGGTCCGGTGTCGTAGCATCTGTTAGGGCCCCAAATATGGACAACTAATGAACCCCCGAAACAAAACACTGTGAAAGTATAAAATATATTTTATAGTAAAAATACTAGCAATACTTTATATAAAAATTGTCAACAATACCTATTTATATCAAAATTACCAATAATATATTCCATAGTAAAATGACCCACAATACATTTTATCTGTAGTTGAAGGCATATAATTGCATTCAAAATATATTTAGCTGAAGCCTAAAATTGTGTTTAAAATATTTAGATTTCGGCATTAAATAACCAATAGATATTGATATGCCGCTAAACAAAATTTAACAAGCAAAAATAAAAGCATTCTTTCATGACATTAATCCATATAATGTCCTGCAATTTCTTAAAGAAATCAAACTGTATACCAAAATATAACTTCAGCAAAACTACAACATAAAACACGCATATCACCGCCTTTAGTAATTATGTCCACGCAAACAAAAGCTGAGTATCATCTACCATGTATTCAATTGTGAAAGCAGAATAACATCATGTTTTTATTATTCCAAAGCTTCCAAGAAAATTAAATTTTGACATTAAGTGACCTAGATAGAATTTATATGTCGTTTAACAAATAAAGCAAATAAAATATTTAAAAAATGTAGAAATATTTTACTGTGCCGATTTACCGGCTTGAAAATAGCCCAAATTTGGTAACCTTACTTTTTACGTGGGCACAATCTTCGACAACAACAGTAAAAAAAAAGGCAACTATCTTAACCACGAATCAGGCCACAAAATGGCCAACTCGATTTCCATCCGGATGCAATCACCATGTTTCGAAGTTCTGGAAATTTTCTATGTACTGTGTCCCTTCAGGACATGGGCGATTACGGCTCTCCACAACTTCCTATCCTTTGTAGCTTTTAGCAATTTTTGTTTTTTACTATCCTTCCTACTCCTTGTTCTGTCATCCATTTACACAAGCTTCTTATGTAGGTTGATCATGGGTCTCCACAACTTCCTATCCTTTGTAGTTCTTAGCAATGTTTGATTTTTTTTACTATCCTTCCCACTCCTTGATCTGCCATCCATTTAACAAGATCGTTAGGCAGGTTACGCGTCGTTTCCCCTGTCTCTCTTGCCTTTGAATTGTCCCGTGAGTGTAAAATTTTCCAAGACTTTTCCTCATGATGCGTACCAGGAATTTCAACTGTCTCTTCTAAGTGTAAGTAAACTTTTTGTTTCCTTTAAACTGCCTCATTACTTACATGTTCAGTCCATGGTATTCTCAGTATCCTTCTGTAGAGCAACATCTCTGTTGCCTCAAGTCTCCTTTTCATCTGTGAGAGTACCTAACATTCAATACCATATAGGCGGATGATAGCAGTTGAGCAATTTTTCCTTTGATACTAACAAAATTTTCCTGTTTCTTAAAATTTTGCTTAACATTTGGAAAAAAAATCTTTTGCTATTCCAGTGACCTTTTTGTTTCCATTTTCTTTAAAACTTCCATGTTTCTTACATGCTCCATCCATGGTATTCGTAGCATACTTCTATAGAACCACATTTATGTTGCCTCAAATTAACAAATTTGCTTGATGGAAGAAAGCTTTATTTTTTATTTTTTGAACTCACTTGGTATAACCATCGTCTTACAAAAGTATTTATGTAACTAGTCTGAAGTAGGACACTCAGTGAGAATCAAACTCATTGCATTATTTTTCACCCCTTCGAGTTTGAATAATCATAAGAATAAATTCCTTTTATCAGTCAACCCGTTTTTATTTGCGTGATTTCGCGCATATCTCACTTTATTAAGCGTAAAAATAGTTTATACTTCGTCTGTCACGTGACAACTGAAAAAGAAGAAATATGACGACAAATCTGGGCCTGTCTAATTCTGAAACTCACCTGAACAATTGTCTGTAATTTTGAGCAGAGTCATTAAAATGCCCAGTATTGTTCGGGTAATTTGAACTCTTTTTTGTATATTTTTATGGTAAACATATTTCAACCGATCCATTCTTCAGCTTTCATCAAGTGTATTCCGCGAATGAGTGAATGTGTGTGTGTGTGTGTGAGTGAGAGAGAGAGAGAGAGAGAGAGAGAGAGAGAGACAGAGAGAGACCGAGTTCTTTTTTCAACGAAAAAAAAAAGCCCTAATTAATGAAAACACCGTCCATGTATGTAACAAGAGCTTCCGATATGTGAAATGTTAGTCCAGGTTTTGTTGGAAACTACATTTAATCTAATTTCACAGTTTGTTTTAATAGTTTATTTTAATGGTTTATTTTAATGGTTTATTTTAATTCGATTTTCTACATTGTGATAAAAACATCAAAAGATGAAGAAAACAAGTCAAAATTATTAGATTTCACTGCTATAGCATATACAAGTATCTGAAATTGTGCTTTCACGCCAATATATAGGATTTGTAGGTATTGCATTGTTAACTGCATGGTTTTACAAATTATTACGAGTTCGAAACTCCCAACCCACGTTGAATGTTTGACTTTATGTCAAAGTAAGTTGACCTTTGTAACTAAGTAATTTTGAGTGCTTAGTACGATTATTGGTAAACTCGTCTAGCAGATATTCAGTTAGTGTCGTATAGTATACGATAATCTTAATCACTATCATCTGTCCCATGACCGAGAGTGGTCGTTAGCGTTGCCGCGCAGTTAAGTACCTGACTACCTTCCCCCATATATCTAGGTTGCGTGTCTGTGAATGACTTTCAGTTCATTGAGTGACGTTGTCAGTTCATTGTTTCTTCTGTCTGTCTCTTCTTTTGCCTAAGGGTGTACGCTTTAGGATGACATTGGAAAGATTGTTGGGTCTTGTGACGTGTCCATATCATTTCAACTTTCTCTTCTTGACGGTGGTTGTGAGGTCTTGCAATAGGCATTTTCCTAGCCCAAACTAAAAGCTTCGTAAATCATCATAAGGCTTATATTCGCTTCATCCTATTTTTCCTTCAAAGTAGAATGAAAGCAAATTAGCCAAGAAACATTTCTTTCTACAGAGTATGAATTTAATTCCTTATAACATTTTTATAAATCTCAGCTATTGCATCCGTGATTATACAAATTCTGTCCGCGGGTGTGTTTGCTACTGTATTCCAGTACAAACGGCGCATCGTAGCAGGAGTTTTGCTAGAGCAATAACGTTAAATTGGTATAACTTCAAGAATAAAACAATTTGCAGTAAGGCCGCTTCATAGTCAATACTCTGCTCGTACGAAACAAGCTGATGTAGGAAAACCCCGTGTCCGTCAGTGGTTACGTAGGGAAGGATTAAAAGCTGAAACCGAATTGTCTTGTTGCACAGGACCAATGTTTGCTAACTAGAAATTACCAAGTACACATACTGAAAAATTGTGTTAACTCCAAATGGAGATTATGTGAGGAATATCAAGAAGCAACTGACCATCTTGTATCAGGTTGTACAGTATTAGCATCAGATGAATATAAATTTTTGCATCAGAGCGTGAGACACTGGAAAATCTTCAACTTTTATGAGCAGGAAACTGCAAAGAATTGGTATGAATACCACCCAGACGTGGGTTATAGAGACAGGATCTGTAAAAGTTTTATGGGATTTTACAACGAGCACTCAGAGAACAATGAAAGCTAATTACCGAAACATGATCAAAGACAGAATGTGCTTTCTTATTGATATATTTCTACCTGCAATCAGTAACGTATATTTGAAGATACTAAAAAAAATAATCTCAAATGTATGCTTCATGAAGACATCAATAATTCCAGTTATATTTGGAGCGCTCAGATTGGAAAAAGGTTCCGATAGACACATTGACGGGATTCCTGATAGCCCATTGCCTTAAAGAAATACAAATATTGTACCCACAAGTACAAGTCACCCATTACGATAAGTTTTATTTATGTAAAATATGTGTGATTCAAGTTTTTTATTTTATTTTACAAAAATACTCAGTGGAAAAGGTCAGTATGCCTTATTAACTTTAGCTCCAAGGTTTGGATACGGAAGGAAATGTGTATACGACATAAATCAAATAAAATATTGTGTTAGCCCAAAATGCAGCTTCTGCGATGAATATCCAGAAACAACTGACTATCTTTTATCAGGTTGCACAGTGTTAGCACCAATTCATTATAAAACTCGGTATGATAGAGTGGGTCAATATCTGCACTGGAAAATATGCAACTTTTATGGAAATGAAACTGCAAGAAACTGGTAGGAACATCACCCAGACTTGGTTACAGGACCTGTAACAATTTTATAGGACTTTGCAATACACACGGACAGAACAATCAAAGCTAATTGCCCAGACATTGCTACGAAAAGCCACAAAAACAGAATGTGCTTTCTTATTGACATAGCAGTCGCTGCAGATTGTAATGTATCTTTGAAGATCTTCAAACAAAACTCAAAATACAAGGTTGTTGAAGTGGGAATCTCAAAATGTAGCACATAAAGGCATCAATAATTACATTTGAGTCCTCGGATTGATTGGAAAATATTCCGATAGATTCATTGAAGGGATTTCTGGTAACCCATGCCTTAAAAAATTGTACTCACAAGTACAGCTGACACATTACAAAAAGCCTTATCTATGTAAAATGTATGTGATCTAAGGCTTTTTTTTCTTTTGCAAAAATATATATGAAGAATGTCGTGATACCATTTGTGACCTTAGGAAGAAAATGTGTATATAGCAGAAATGAAAGAAAAAATTGCCGCTCTGTATAATACAAGAGTTGAATGTAGACAAACTGAAAAAAATTGAAAATTACCACTATCTGGTTAGGGAGGAGGTATGGAACATAACTGTTGAGGTAATTACTGAAATAATGGGTGTGTTTGAAACTGTCTAAAAATAATGCAAAATAAATGTGTCATCATTTCATACAGCAGTTAACTTTTCATTTTTTTCTTTTCTTTTTCCATCATGACCATTTATACACACTTTTCCTAAATTGTAAGAACATAGTTTAACAAGAGAATCTTGCTAGTGAGTAATTAGTAGAAGTACAAGTAAAGCTAACTTAAATATATTTGACACTTGACTAATTACTTACTAATCTCTATTATTTATTTTCACAAAATTATATTTAAGAAAGAAGACGCCATATCACTTCATGGCGGGATTCATCGTTACCCAAAGACTCCTTTTTGTTATTATCTGTAAATTGTCACAAATTCTTGAGAAAGACATATGCCTTACTACAGTTTGGAATTAAGAGTTTTCCTTCTCATAGAATGGTTTTCATACGAGGTTAGAGAGCCCGGTATGCCATAATATAGCTGGCGGAAGGAGAGAAAAATTCGTTTCATGCCTTTTCCAAAAGCATAAGTGCGAAAGTGAACGAAGCAAACGAAACCGGAATTTGAACTCGGTTCGCCGGCTCCACTTTCCGCGCCGATAATCGTTAAACTACTCGCGCATCTGCATAGTTATAATATCGCTCGGTTCATACTCCTCCTCGGTCTTTTGAACAGGAGCCGAGGTTTATCCCCTGTTTTCTGATTAGGACTGGGTTTCATGTTCTTTTCAAATCCACTTCAACTCTATACTTCTACCGTTTTCGCCAAAACTCTGAAATTTTATTTACTGTTTATTTATTTTCCTCAATAGGAGTAGCTAGATTCGCCTATGGCCCGGTTCACACTCCGGTCTTTTGAACAGGAGTAGAGGTTTATCTAGTGTTTCCTGTTTGGGATTGATTCTAAAGTCACTCTCGTTCATTTTCACTCTCAGTAGCTCCTTGCATTATAGTGGTCTTATCTCCTTCATAGGGGTGAATTGATTAAAAAACTCTATAGAAAGGAATTAGCTTGATATTGACCTTACCAGTCGCAATCGAGTTATTATTAAATAAGTATTTGCGTGACTCAGTTTTAACCCAGAGTTTTTGACAAGATTGGTTATTAACGGCCGGAGGATTAAATAAAAGTGGCAATAATGAAAATACATATCATTTTGATTGAATGGAATTTTTAAAAGCCAAGTAGCAACAGGATGATTTATCTTCCTTTCTAGAACTGCAGCATTTTTAATAAATATTTCATGAACTTTTCTTATGAAGAGACTATTTTATGAGCTAAAAAATAGCGTCATTTATAGTTATCTATTTTTGATTATAAAGTTTAAAGCAGAAAAATGCTATTACTTTGCTCATGAAGTTTTGTTCTTTTAATTTTAAACTAAATCGTCGTAGATTTTGATAAATTCGTTCCCATTGCTCCCAGAAAGAAATGCAAACCTTGATGACGTTTTTCTGTTGGAATTTTGTGAATAATAGGGAGAAATATTAAAACAAGATCCTCTCAATTTGTAATGAGAGATTTGAAATTTTATAGCTAAAGAAATAATAAAAACACGATATAACAACGACTGATTGACAGTCAAAATGAAGGAATACACGAGATGAAGGGGAATGAGGAAAAACAGCCGACAACTGGAGAAAAAAAAATTACTGAAACAGAAATTACATTCAGAATCTATAATGGATTTCACATGTAAGACAGATGTGTAATAAACAGGGATAGATAGATAGATAGATAGATAGATAGATAGATAGATAGATAGATAGATAGATAGGAAATACTTCGTAGATTTTGACAGGCTGCAACAGACACACAGACAGGCAGACAGACAGACAGATAAATTTGTTATGAACAGAGACAGACAGATTGCTAAATAACTATATATACAATGAACATAGCTATATAGATTTGTAATGAGAAAGACAGACAGATAGATAGATAGATAGATAGATAGATAGATAGATAGATAGATAGATAATAGATAGATAGATATGAAATGAACAGAGATAGACAGATTTCTAAATAACGAGATGTGCAATGAACATAGCTATATAGATTTGTAATGAGCTAGATAAAAAGACTGACTGAGAGACAGACTGACAGATAGACAGATAGATAGATAGACGGATGTGTAATGAACAGAAACAATTTTCTAAATAATTAGATGTGTAATAAACATAGCTAGATAGATTTATACTTAGATATGTAGCGTAAAAATGAGATAGAGAAAGAAAGAGAGTGTTTGTAAAACAAAGATCGATGTATGTGATAATAATAAAAAAAGTGTAGGTTTGCTTCGTGGTCTTATATAGTTATGTATTTCCTACACATTATGGAAGTTTGTGATCGAGCTCAGATGGAAGCCATATTTACGAATGCTGAGTTTCAAGGCAGTCCTTCATACTTAAAATGTTATCTTAATATAAATTTCCAACTCTTATTTGATTTTTTCCTATACCTAGTTCGTAATTACCAACAAACTAAAAGAAAGAAACAGGAAGAGAGACATTAACAAAAAGATAATAATTTTAAACGAGAAGAGAGAATGATACAACTTAGTCTGGCACAAGGTTACCCAATGAGTCAGATACTCACGAAAATAAATACAGTCAAAGTTAACCGATACCCAATGACAAGGTAACCCAAGAGGAGAGAGAGAGAGAGAGAGAGAGAGAGAGAGAGAGAGAGGGGGGGGAAGGGAAAGAGTGAGCAAGGGAGAGAATAAATTTGATGGAAGAAACAACGAACAAGTAAGAATACATGCTAGATAGTAAGGAAATTTAGATTCGTAAGAACGGGAGTAGCAACGTCGAGTTTGTTTAGTACCTAGATGGGTGACCACTTAGGAATACCAGATGCTGCAAGCCTGGATGTGCAGGTGGTGTAATGGATACCGGCTCAGAATTGTTAATCGGAGAGCCGAGTTCCAATTCTCGTTGGGTTCGTTATATTCACTTAAGCGCAAATTCATTTGGGAAAAAGTATGGATCTACTTCTTCTCCTCCATACTTGTATCACTATAAAAAAAAACCCAATATTATCTAATATATATATATATATATATATATATATATATATATAAGCTTACAATCTAAAAATATTTTCTGGCTTTAAATAACCTGCAAAGGGTTGATAAGCCGTAGAACATTTATCACCCCCCCCAAAAAAAAGTAAGTGCCGTACGTTTACAGCCTTGTGTTGGGCTATTTGAAGCTTCGTAACTAATTCTGTACTCGGTCCCACCCTTTCACTGTCGAAATATCTAAATGTAGCCGTCTCTTCTATGCCAACAGCTTCTTCTCTTGCACTTCCCGACAGTGGAACTCTCTTCCTCCTATTTGCTTCCCTGATGGCTATAATCTTCAAATATTCAGATGTAATGTCAATCGACATCTTCTGATACCTTGATCTTAATCCAGGTCCTTCTTTATATCATTTCCTTAAACACTTCTCTTTTGCTCTCACTTTATGTAACCCGTTTCGTGATAGTGGCACTCCCGCCTCTTGCTTGGAGTGAAATGCTTAAAAAAAAAAAAATGGCCGGCGTTCAAGTAAAAGTTCCAGCTTTCGAAGTTTGACTTTCCAAGCAGATAAACCTAATAACTTGGATATTTG